AATAAGTCACACAGTGGGCTCAGTCGTGTGGGTTACTGGTGTTAGTGTTCACACAGCCTACAACCACTGAGTGTACACCGGGGACAATGAAGCTGGCTGTTATCACGTCACTGTGGCTGAAGATTATGGCTACATGATAAGCCTGTAATTACTACAGTGACACTGATGCATGACATACTGCTCTGTGTGCGTGTGCGTGTGTGTGTGTGTGTGTGTGCGGGCGGGCCTTTGTGTGTGAGAGGAGAATGTGGTAGAGTATGGCTAGCAGGCTGTAGAAGGTGTCATAAACCACAGGACGTGGAGAGCCATCTGTCTCTCTCTCTCTCTCTCTCTCTCTTCCACACACACACACACACACACACACACACGGTGGTAGCATGTACAGGCAGGGAGAGACATTAATCATCGGGTTGGAGGAGCTCCCAGGAGCAGCCTACAACCTGCTGATAGAAAACCTGACACACACACAGACACACACCTACACCTGAACTGAGGGTTGTTCAATAGGGCATACAAAAAAAAAAAACACTATTTCACAATGATCTTACAATCATCACAGAACAGTGAGATGAGATTTGTTTATAGCTGCACACACAATACAGTGCTTATTTGCAGTCCATCAGCTGTCCTGTGGGCTGTTTGCTCATCACACAACGTCCTGGACAAATGTTAGCGAGCAGTCCAAACATCTGCAGAACCCTGTGCCGCCGCCGCTGCCTTTTGGATGCAACACATGACTTCTTCAACATTTTAAACTGCCTGGAATAATGGGCCAGAGCTGTCGTGTCAAGACTAGAGACACCTTTTTGACCTTTAAAAAAATGTTTTAAAATTTAAAAAAAAAAAAAAAAAAACAGTCGCAGAGCTATGACATCTTTCTCCAAAAGACTGCCTTGACTTTCAAAGCAAGACACTTGATTTTTACATCTGACATCAGTGCACCACATTTGTAGACCTTCATGTCCTTGTATAGACATTTCATCTCCTGAGTTACTGCCTGCAGTGAAGTTTATGGATTTATTATGGTACCAGTGTTGAGTTTTATTGGGATCTGTCCACCCAAAAATATAAGGAAACTCAATAAAACAGTTGCTAGTTGTACTTTGCGAAGTGGTTTATTATAAATTCTGTTGATACCATATTTGTCTATAACAGAAATTCTGGCTCAAACACACGACCACACCATCTGTTTTAACTGCTGAGTCACATCAAGCAGTAGTGTTGACCTGTTTGTCCACTGTGGCAGAAACATAACAGTCTCATAATTTTGACCGCCTACTGAATCTGCCACGTAGAAACACTTAATTCCAAACTGTGACCCGATCAGGACCAGAGGAGTTAATTTTCTAGTAGTGTGCCGGTTCATCGAGTGCTTTATTTACTTATTTTCCTCTGTTTTTTGAGCACAGGCCAGAGGTGGAAGAGTGTGAGGTCAGTGGGTGCACCAGAAGGAGGGAGAAGAGTGCAAAAGGGTAGAGGAGTGAGATAGCGATAGATGTGTGTGTGTGTGTGTGTGTGTGTGCGCATATGTGTGCGTGACATACTTGGGAAGGGGTCAGCCAGAGTTCCCCTGTCCGTGAAGCAGTGAGGGATCAGTGACAGCATTTGTACTTTCCGGCGTTTCTAGCTTGCAGGACTAGACGAGTTTGTCTTAAAGCTGTAAAAGATCGTGAGCTGGAACGGTTCAGAGAGAGAGAGAGAGAGAGAGAGAGAGAGAGAGAGAGAGTTATGCTTGTTTTGTGCTTTGCACTTGTGCTTTAGAAAATTAGGGATGTTCTTACTGAGAAGAAAACCGGTGGAACTGATAGCAAGGAACATGTCTGTATAGTCTCCCTATTGTCCTCTTAGATAGACTACATGTTTTCCCGATCACATTCTGTGAATTAAATGCCAGAAATCAAAGAGATTGTAACTAACATCCATTGTTGTCTTTACTCTCCCCCTTTTCAAGGAAATACAATTCGGTGTGTTTAAGCCCTCCTCGTAACATCCTAATTTCCCAGTGTGGGACTCCATTAGCTGCTGTAGAATAGATGGCATGAGTGGAGCAAATATCGATTGGAACAACAGTTCCAACACGCAGTATTAATGTCAGAAAGAATAGGCCGTTACATTAGGCACAGAAATTCCTGTTGGAATCAATAGACACACACACACACACACCCTCTCAGCTTCTGAGGCCAGCAGCGAAGGCCTAAGTGCTAAGATAATAACCATTTGATTGGGTTAACAGAGGCAGCTCTGTTTAGGCTTGCTGCTTTGCCTCACTGTAATATTAGGTTGTCTCCTCTTTCACCTCCAGGTTATTGAGCTGGCTCTATTAGAGAGAATCTACTTCATTGTAATGCATGAGGAAGATGGGATGTACAAAATATGTTTATAGTTGGCCCTCATTACTCTCAGGCACAGCGAGTCCTTTCGTTTTAAATAGAAAAGACCATTATTAGGCTCAGCTGACTTTTTTTTTTTTTTTGTCCTTGATCGCACATTAAGCAAAAACATACCGTGCTCATTTGCTGCTTTAATGAGACAGCAGTAATTCATCTGCTCATTACGTACAGTAAATCACAGCAAAACCACATCTTGAACTGAATTCATCACTCAAACACAAACCAAAAGGAGGGTATGAATGAGGCAGCCTGTAGTCTTGTTTTTATTTTTGGAAGCTGCTAACATTTGTCCTGAGGGCAGGACGGTCGATTCTGTTGTGACAGTCGCTGCTTTGTGTGTGAGCTCCAGTAAATTCAGAACACCAGACACTGCTTTGTTGCTGTAGGAGGAGTGCTGTGGTAAAGGATGTCAAGGAGAGCTGCAAATTGCTTGAGCTGGGGAACAGAGGACTTTGAGAGGCCTCTGCCTTTATTTAAAAGTGTCAGCAGTTCTGCAGCATCGTGCTGACAAGACAGACATATTAGAGGATCTCTACATCTCCTTCCTATCAGACAGTTATGTAGGCCAAGAGACCCATTTGCATTTCACTCTAGCCTCACTAGCATCACTGCATGTTCTGTGAAGGCAGTGATAACTCGGGGAAAAAAAAAAAAAAAAACTGACTCTCGGAGAGACTCTTTTGAAGCTGGGCCCCAATTTAGGTCATCCCAGAACTGTTAAACAACAACTTTGCCCTTAGAACAAGAAAGCAGACCAGCAGACTCGCCTCATACACAGTATTTCCTCCTAGAAAATGAGATTGAAACCTCTAAATTAAAAACTAAATAGGCCACCAAGGCTCCTTTTTGGCAAAAATGTGGCACACAGCACCGCAACTCTTGGCCAGGTGCTCAGACTAATTTTGTGGATGGATTCTGTTTAGTCCAGCAGATTTGTACGCGCTGTCCTTGTGCTGCATTACACCCTTATAATTACATTAGGCAAGTACAGAAGGACATTTTTCATGAAGCACCTGGAAGCCAATGTTTTGTAATTGCAAAACTTTTCAAAAAGGGTTCATACACAGGTTAGTGCACTCGAGTGAAGCTGTTGTATAGTGTTACCAACAGGGCTTTAGGAATTAGAAAAGAGCATTAATACTTGTAAATTCTATGGTAGATATTTTATGTTTTCTGAGCAGTAGGTTAAATGTCATACGTCAACAAGGCGAGGTGAGGGAAATATCTTTCAAAACCTGTAAAACTCGCTCATGAAAGATGAAATTGGTTTTAACAGCTCTGATTACAAGTACAAGTGCTCACAACAGGGCTCAGAAAACACACACACACTGTGCTCTTCTGCTGTCCTCACCATGCCCTCATGCTTCATCCGCTCACTGCTGTCTGTGTGTGTGTGTATGTGTGTGTGTGTGTGTGTGTGTGTGTGTGTGTACGTATTCATGTGTGCAGTCATGTGCCTTAGTGTACATGTCATCTGGATTGCAAACGTTTTCATGTGTGCCCATTTGGCTGTCGGTGCAGTGTCTGCATGCCGTGATGTGCATAGGTGCCTTCATACATGTAACTGACTATTTGTATGCGTGTGTATGCAGAATTAGGCCCAAGATGTGTGTGTCGACTCTCAACAGATGGCCTTTTCAACACTCTCGCCTTTCAGCTAGGGCTCTTGCCAGCCCCAAAACACACACACACACACACACACACACACACACACACACACACACACACACACAGAGAGAGAGAAATACGATCGCAGTCCTCATGCATGCAAACTGTTGCCAGACCAATTGCATAATGCATCATTTTTGAGACAGTAGACACTCATGGAGGGTGGAAATGTGACTGTGAGGAGGAACATTTAGTGAAGCATGTTCCACTGTGTTATTATTTGATATCAGATGTACGTTTAGCATTGTGTTGAACCCGTGTATGAAGGTACAAGCATTGCCATTATTAACAAACCTGGACTAAATGAATGTTGATGCAAGTCCTGAAACATCCAAGGCTCCAAACATATTAATGTGTGTTGTATATTATCTGTAACCAAAATCTTTAATAATAAATAAAAATCAGGAAAAGCATAATTATTCTCGGACAGAAGCCGCTTGCACAACACACGGTGATCACAGATAGGAAGCTGGTGAGGGATTGCTGCCTTGTTGCTGGAGTACGCTTGCATACATGTTATGCATTCTGAAATCTGTGTATTTTGCAGACTTACAATTCCTATCACACCTTTGTTTTCAGCAAAACAAATCTCATCTTGTCAATGTGTATCCCTGTGAGTGCTAAAAACAAGCCGGTGCAGGTATTCTACATATCTCACAGATGGCTGAATCCTAGGTTTTATTCTGAATGCACTCGGTGTGTGTTGCCACTTGCTGCCAGTGTTAAGAACACTTCAGCAGCGCCATCCTAACCAACACTGGCAGTGATTATTGGCTCTTGATTATGGTGGTACGCTAGCATGAAGCCATGTGTTCACTGTGATTTTCCCTCTCATTAATCTGCCACACTCTGTCTCTCCCCCCTTTCTCTCTCCCTCTTTATGTCTCTCTCTTTACCCACTGTTCCTCCCTCCCCTTCCCCCACTTCCTCCTCCTGGATCAGGAAGCCTCGTCCCGTCTCCCAGCTCGTCTCGCAGCAGCAGGTAACGCAGCAGTTTGTGTTGCCCTCGCAGCCCAAAAAGGAAAAGAAGGAGAGGGTAGAGAGGGAGAAGAGCGACAGAGAGCCTGCGCTCAAGAAAAACAGTCACAAGAAGATGAGGTAAACAAACTGACACCAGGTTGGGGGATCAACAGGAATCAGATATTACAGGGATGCATGAATAAACACCAGACTCTATAGATGCTGTTTATGTTGCTACCTGAAGCTAGGTCATGCAGGATTTCAAACAAATATTCTTAAATACAGTGTTTTTTTTTGTCACTTTCCCCAACGTTTCTCCCACCCATCAGGCCGAGATTAAAAAACATCGACCGTAGCAGCGCCCAGCACCTGGAGGTGACAGTTGGGGACCTGACGGTCATCATAACGGACTTTAAGGAGAAGGCCAAGCCCTCGTCCACCTCGGCCACGTCCTCCAGCGCAGCATCGTCGGTGGTCGACCACCACAGCCAGAATGGCTCCAGCTCAGAAAACACAGAGAAGGGGCTTTCCCGCTCCTCCTCACCGCGGGGAGAGGCGAGCTCAGTCAACGGAGAGTCTCACTGAGTCACGCCCCCATCCACCTCCAACCACATCTCATCTGCAAGTCCACAGGTCACTGGAGGGGAACCCTACTTCTACTTTAGAGCTGCACAAAAACAGTTTTTTGCTTACTTTCCTCTGGAATTGTGACCTATTTATCAAAGAACGAGATGCCGAGCCTTCAGATTTGGCATGTTTAATCATTTGAAATATTCTCCTCAGCACTGGAATTCTGCATTTAGAAAGCAATATGAATTAACTTTTACTCCATCTTGGAAGTTGCTGTCATCTACATTACAAATAAATGTTTGGACAGTGTGCTGAACGCTATCAGTTTTTTTTAAATCCTCTATGGTTTCCTTCAGATGCACCTACCTATCAAGATTTTTCTGTCTTCGATATTTTTATTAAGCGAAATGTGCAGCCCCACCCTTGGTATCATCTTGAGTGGCCGGCAGAGTGACCTCTTCTTCCTCCATGTGGAATTCTCAGCCACTATCTGGATTCTTTACCTACATGTTATAAACCTGAATAATCTAGTACACGGTTTCTCAGTGTCCTTACACTGAACCTTCAATCTGACAATGAACCTTTGCTCCTGATCTCCTGATACTCCAAGCTTTTACTTCTGGACTGCCTCTGCTGAAGAGTGACTTTTTTGACACAGCATAGTGGCTATACTTGTTCTGTCACCATTTGGTGATTTCCATAATGTTTGGAGCAGGTTGTCTAGTTCAGGTATGCTTAATTATGTCCGTACAATGGCACTTGGAAGAAAAGTACAGCATGTAATTTTAAAAGGTTGATACTGGTGTAATTGTTTTTTTTTTTTTTTTCAAGTTTGTGCCACAGTCAGCTAAGTTGGACTTAAGTTATTTATCTATCTTGGCTGCCATTCATTTTGTTCACCATATAACCACAATCATAAACCTGCATTAAGTGATATTTTTGATACAAAACATAAAATCTAATTACTTTGGGTAATGTAAAAAGCTGAACTTTTTCGTTTTCTGACCCTCACAGACCAGACCAACCATAGATCCTCCACGTTCAGCAAACCAGTTCAGACAAGTTACTGTTACACTGCCTGGCTAACATGCAACAGCAGAAGCTTGATATTGGCTAGTAGCTGGTAGACAAACTAACTAGCTACTGGAAAAGTTGTTCAATGACAATGTATTGTTATGCTACCTGGGTAGCATGAAATAGCAGGTTTTAAGTTACGTAGTAGCTTGATAATAACAGTCTTAACCAGTACTAACTAGCTACTAGCTTAGTGCAGACCAAACCAGAGCTACCACAGTCAGGTGAATATTGGACTGTTGAAAACACCAGAAACATCCATCAATAGTTACACTAATGTTGGTATGCGTCTGCTAGGTATGGAAAAAAAATTGTTAGTAAATTGCTAATTGCTAATATATTAGCTTTAACAGCTAAAATCGATATCTCAGGGCCGTGTTTCATAAAGTTGATATTGTCTTTTCTGCCCTCTAGTTGTCAAAAAAATAACTTAATGCAGTTTTAAAAATTTTCCAAGCTTTTTAACTCATCACAGTCGGCGTGAAACTTTCTGGACTCTTTCTGTCAATCATTGTAAATACATGATGTAGACAAAACTTGACATTCTTCGCGATAATGTTATACCATGGTTACTGTCAATCGAAAAGAGATATCTAGTCAAATTAGACAACAATTCTTGTAGCCTTGCAAATGCACATTATATTTTCACTTTTATTTTCTTAAAACAAGACCCAATTTCAAGGTTTATCTTAGTAAAGTTTGTTTTAGAGACGGAAAAAGGAACGTTGATTGCATGTTGATTGAGCGATCGTCAACCAACTGTAGAAGATGACAACGGTGCCGTAGCTGTAAATGACACCGGTATTCTCCTTTTAATCTCTGCTGCACAAACAGGGCAGTACCTACTCGGTGTCCAAGTGGAAAACCAGGGGATGTTCATACTGCTCTGCTGCCACAAGAGGACCCAGTTTGGATACAGCATGGTGCTTGTACAATGGAAAAAGAGTTCTGACTTTTGGACACATTTATGAGCTGTACAGGGGATATCCTGCAGTGTGATGGACTTCAGAGACTGTTTTAATTCCTCCATTTTGACAAAACAAAGTGGAGGCGCTTTAGAGTATACTAAACTCCCAGCAGAACAACTATAGATCAACCTAACTACACAATAACTTATAAAACCTGTAGAATAACTACACAGATAATTGATATTTCTAAAATATTGTACTACAATGTCTTGATGTGGCTGTATTATCCATCATACCAGTGTTATTGTCGAGATTTTTACTTTAACATTTTAGCACACATCCTGAGAACTGTCACGGCATGATAATATTGCGGTCTCGGTATATTGTGGGACAGGCTATGTCTCTTAGTTAGTATTGTTTAATGTGTCAGAGATGTACTCTCATAGGTTCACTACACTAGCTGGGACTAGGTGTGTGGACTCGTGAGAACTGTTCGGACAGACATTTGTTATTTGGTTGTGGCAAAAATGGAAGACACTTAAAATGTGTTAGTGTCACTTGTTGATACTTTATTGTTTGTTTTGCTTTGCCATGCTCAATTGTTTTAAAAATGTGTGAACTTGTTTATTACATGTCTGAATAAGAAAATAACAAATTTCAAAACAAAAATGTCCTTTTCTTATGCACACAAATTTTAATTTTTGTCAGTCTCTTTTACGCACAGATTCATACACGCACACATTTTTGTATTTTGATTTGTTTATAGCCTTCTATGCAGAGTATGTTTTATTGTGTCTTTTAAGTCCATCTGTTGAATGACTCGATAACTTATCTTCAACAATGCATGCAGTTTCATTGTTTACTTAACAGATCAGGCCCATCATGCAAAACTCTGCATACCCACCTTTTCATTTGAAAACTGTGTTTAGCCACACAATATTTAAGGCAAAAAAAAAGAAAAATCAAAATGGCATAAATATATTAGGCATGCAGCAGTTGAGCATAAGGTATGGTTTACATGCTAATTAATTAGCTACTACATCAGTGAATAACCTCATTTTCCCCCACACTAAATGAAAATGCAATTGACGTTCAGGTCTGTTTGTCTAATGCAGCCACCTCAATAAAGACGACTAGTCACTTAAAGCCAGGCTGAATGGGTCTTTTCAGAGGTGAAATCAATTCAAAGTTGCAGCAGACAGAGCCTGAGGGGGGAGGGAGAGGGAGGAATCAACTTTGCTTATCGCTCCCACCCTTCCCCCATGTAAGGGGGTCTCGACCTCCTGCTTCTGTTGCATGAAGCTCATCAAGTGAAACTAATAGAACAAAGAGAGCAGCCGGAAGCGTGTTCTTGCTTTCAAAATAAAAGAGTGAAGAATGGTGTAAAGGGAAAAAGTGGGTGCACAGAGATAGAAAAAGCAATTTCGATCAAAGTAAGCATAAAAAGACCACAGAAAATTAATCAGAAAACGATTATCATGGTAGAGTTAAGATGTTAGGTATGCAACTTAAAACTCGTCTTTCAGAAGCTGTTGCTAGTCTGTCTCATTATTATGGTAGGGCTAAACACTAAGGAAAACCAACATGGCTATACATGCAGAGATAAAGTAAAACTGTCATATCCCTTAGCCATGCTTCCCAGTCATTTTCATGAAATCAAATGAGACCTTGATCATTGACTGTTCCTCATCTGTTAAAAAACGACTGACCATCTACTCATAGCAAGGTGAAGAATTAACCTTTGGCTTTTAAGCTAATATGACAGGGTCCTCAGTAAACATATTACTGTTCTGTGAAATCTGAGCTAATCCATCTGCTAGGGAAGATGGTGCAATACAATCAAAAGGACAGGAATGGCTACTAAATGGACCATGTCAGTTTTGTTTATAAACTGTTAAGTATGAAGTTCCAATGTTGAGTTTAATCATATTTTAATATTGAGCAAAGGCTCCAATTAGGTTGTGCATCAATGAAAACTTGGGTCTCACAGCGACGAATAAATTGTAGAGTCTGATGTGAGTGCCATGGCCACAGAGTAGCCACAGTGCGTTGTTACATTTTCTTCTCTCAGACTGTTAAATTGATACATTCGACTTCTTACATTGTATTGTAACCTTGCAACATGCCATGCTACAGATAAAGGGAAGAAACACATACAGATAAATTAAGCTACTAGAGCATTTTCCCCAAAGCTCGATAAATAAATGTGGGTGGAAAGGCTTGCAGCGCCACGATACGGTCGCCAGAGGGCGTAGTTGCTACGCCTTCTAAACCCAAGTAAGAGTTTTATTTTCTAAACTTTGGCCGGAAGTGCGTTAACATTGCGTGTGGCGTCACATTATTATTGTATGCCAGTTTTTGTGTCATGACTTTAGCTCCGAGTTGCGTTTACACACTCCATAATGCGGCGTTACATACGTGCACTGATGCTGTGCATGGTGTTTGCCGTGTTCTCGGGACTGTATGTTTACAGTAAGCTGTTTTACTCGGACGCACCGGTCGGTGGGAACGGACCAAAGAGGAGTTTCATCCCACCCAGAGTGGCCGGAGCCAGCCGAGGGGCCGTGGACAAAACTGGGCCCCAAAACACACACTGGTACAATAGGTAGGACTGGATATTCACGTCTTTACTGCTGTAACCGGGCTCAACTGGAAATGGTTACATTTCACTTGTTAAACGTGGACAGTTGTAGATTTCTACTCTGTACTGTACTAGTGATGTATAGGAATGTGACTGAACGGCCCCGTGCTGACGAAGTACACTTCATTCAGTCGTAACTTTCTGTAGTTGAAGACAGTAATGACGTGAGACCTGTCCAAACAGGTGTGTGACTTAACTTGCAGCCCTCCTGTTGGTTTATTTATTCATTCATTCATTAATACGTCACTAAAGTATACAGGTATGAGAAAAATGGCCTACAACTGTATGTCTGACATAGGCCAAACTAGCCCTACATTTTGGCAAATTTTCATTGTAAATTTGATAGACTATCATAAGTACATTTCATCATGTATGATATCATTAAATGTTTAATGTATGTGTAATATATGTGTAATGTAGTTGCGAATCCACCTTTGTTTTTCACACCTGACTGTTTATGTCTCTGCCAAATGTAAGGATTTGAGGAGAAGGGTAAATGGGAGGAGTAGCAAATAAAGTTCAAAAGGAAGAGACACAGGTTACTGTTAGTGTGGATGTAGGCCAGGCTGGGTCCATTGAGGAAAGACAAAATCCATAGGGTAGACTACCTCTAAATAATATGTGTAGCGGCTCTGCATGAATTGTTCAGTTTATGGAAAGGCCAGGAAAAAAAATCCCTGAAGTAATATTTTCAAATTACTATTGTTTGACCGAAAGTCCAGATCATAAAACAGCGTTTACTATGACATCAGACAAAGGAAATCATCAATTTGTCACATGTGAGAAGCTGGAACCTGGAGTATGATGGTATTTTTTTGCATAAAAATCGACCAGTTTAAACCAGGTCAAAGACAGTCAGTCACACAGCCAATCTCTAATCTGAGGAAAAGTCATTTAAGACTGAAGAAAATGTACTTAAAAGTAAACACACGTAAAAAGTTCTAGGTGTTGGAAGGTTGAACAGTATGACCAGTTTCTGGGACAGATTCAAGGATATGTCACATATGTCACACACACTGAATGGCATGATGCTGATGTCAAAACATCCTCTGGTAGGCTGACATTTTGTTAATCTCTTTTACAAGTGTGTGTTTTTATGCAATAAAAGCTTCCTTTTTTTTTTACATTTTGAAATCATGTTTCCTTTGGTTTCAAGGGTCATAATAAAGAAGTGTATCATTATACTCAGAACTGAGAGGGCCATGGGATGCTTTAAATTTAAAAATATCTTTGTATGCTCCCTACGGGTGGAAAAAGCACCTCAGAGCATGACTCAGAAAATTTGATAACATCACTTATTATACGATCTATCCGGCTCTCCATCCTCTCACTCAGGTACATTATGCGTCAGCGGGGTCAGCTGGAGGCGGGTGGTGGCGGCATTCAGAGCAGACCCGAGCCTCCCATGCACCTGGCCGTAGTGGCCTGTGGGGAGAGACTGGAGGAGACTCTCACCATGATCAAGTCCGCTGTACTTTTCAGCATCAAACGCCTCTGCCTGCACATCTTCGCTGAAGATCAACTACACACTAGCTTCATGGAAGCTGTGAGTATTAAAGTCTCAAAACTGTTCTGCATTGCTTCCTGTTGACTGAAGGACTGAGAGAGTGTGTCTACCATATCCTGTGTTGTAAATCTCTGGTTGCAATTAATGTGTTGACTTTGCTGCAGCTGGAGTCGTGGCCTGGCTTTATTCGCTCCAGATTCAACTACACAGTCTACTCCATCAGCTTCCCCAGTGACAACGCAGCCGAGTGGAAGAAACTCTTCAAACCCTGCGCTTCTCAAAGGCTTTTTTTACCTGTGAGTTTCAAATAGACTAGAATACATATCTGACGTGATTTAGGTCTTTTCAATTATTTATTTTCCCTTAGTCACTTTGTAAAACCTTAGCAGAACATACCAATAGCATACTCTATTCAAAACACAGAGCATCCACATTATTTCCACATCCCAAGTGGCAAATGTCTGTGTGTCTCTTTGAATCTATGCAGCTGATCCTGAAGGACATTGACTCGATAGTGTACGTCGACTCAGACATCCTCTTCCTGCAGCCCGTGGACCAGCTGTGGGCATTCTTGTCTCGCTTCAATTCCTCTCAGCTGGCGGCCATGGCCCCAGAGCACGAGGAGCCCCGCATCGCCTGGTACAGCCGCTTCGCCCGCCACCCCTTCTACGGCACGGCGGGCATCAACTCAGGGGTCATGCTCATGAATATGACGAAGATGAGGAACACGTTCTTCAAGGTAGGCCTGAACAGTGAAGACACATTTCCAGCTGATATTTGGTTTAGTGTATTAGTGTACCACCTTTATTGGCCACAAGATGTCCTCCTCCTGCTGCAGTTGCTGTGCACCAAGGCTCCTGTTGCAAACTGAAGCTCCCAACACTTAAACACTAAAATTTGTGCACACTGTAAAGAAAGTCTTAGACTATGGTTAATACTTATTTGTGTATTGACAGAATGACATGACGTCTGTGGGACTGCGTTGGGAGGAACTGTTGATGCCACTACTCCAGAAATACAAACTCAACATAACCTGGGGGGACCAGGACCTTCTCAACATAATTTTCCATCACAACCCCGGTAAGGAGCACAAACACTTAGCCGCAGATTGGAAAATTAAAAGGGGAATTACCATCGATTGTTCAGACGGACGCTTTAACATGTCAGATGTCGGCATATCAGACCTGTAAAAAAAATCTACCGGACGCCTGCTGTGTTGCACTGATTTATTAACTTAAAGCATTTGTGTGCATTTCCACTCCCAGAGATGTTGCTGGAGTTTCCGTGCCAGTGGAACTATCGTCCGGATCATTGCATCTATGGCAGTAACTGTGCTTCGGCCGAGGAGGATGGCGTCTACATAATGCATGGAAACAGAGGGGTTTACCACGACCACAAGCAGCCCGCCTTCAGAGCTGTTTACGAGGCCATACGAAAGGTGGGCAACACCTTGGGGTGGTTAGTGAATCATCAGTACACTATTCCATATTTAGCCCCTGTGTTTTCAATATGCGTTATGCTCTTTTTATTTTCTTCTGCACATTCTTCCATGTTCAGCCAGGTTATGGATTGTACACAGCAGGATTTAAACACTGTTCAGACTGGAAAAGGTAGCGTTAAAATACAGAAGTCTCTACATGAAAGAGGGGAGCAAAAAAAAACATTAGATTTATTTGCTTTAATGTTATTTAATGTTGCCCTCAGTGAATAAAACTAACTGCACTTCCATTAATAACGTTTTATAGTTCATTATAGCCACCTTTTGAAAAGCGTGTGGGGAAAAAAAAAAAAAAAGAAGCTTTTGATGTTCTGGCATTTCTTGGCAGCTCAATGATCATTTTTTGTTATTATTGAGACCAAGTGAAAATAAGGCATGTGCAATGAAATTTAATAACCAAAAATGTCAATAATCTAAAATATTAAGTGGAAAAAAAGTCAGTTTTTAGTGTCTGCCCCTGTGAATTTAAGTCTTCAAAAGGCTCTCTTCTCAACTTTTATGTTTTAACAACCCACAGCAGTTTAACAGGTATAAATTGATGGTAGAAGTGGAGCAGCAAAGGAAGTTTAATATCACCGCTCATCATGAGAATGGAACTCTTTTTTTTTTTTTTTTTTTTTTTTTTGACTGGAAACACCCGCTTTGTTGTTACGACCCACTTTATTGCATCATCAATTTTCCTTTCCTTACAAGTGAGATTGGTAAGTTTCCTTCATGTTTTTCCTGTAACCGCCCTCTTTCTAAAACAGTGACTCAAAGAATCGATTGCACCCGGTTAATGTCTCTCGGGTACATGAAGGTTAAACAAAGTATGTTGAGCCTTTTCAAAGTGTTGAAGGTGTAATATAGTGCAACATCTGATGGGAGACAACCTTTTATAACCCCAGTCACACACCTGCTCTCCCTCCACTGCCCCATTTCTTTACCCTCCTAGATGAGATTTTGGATTGGTGCTGACCCCAAAGAACTTGAGCGTTGGTGACATTAGATTGTCTCCACTGAGAGACACTAATCTCCACCACGGACAGAATGTTGGAGTGAGCGCTAATTTCCCCCATGAGGATCTTTATGTGTTGTTTACCAGCAGTGTAATGGTATTGATGGCAGGAGTGGCATTTGCTTAATGAAGCCATGAATGCTCACTGTCTCATTGCTTTCCTATTAAACATAGATCAGGGCAATGGCTGATCCATACCTTTTTTCTATAGCCTGCAGTTAAGACTGTGGCTTTATACGACAGGATCAATGGTGGCGGTCGACACATGTACCTGCACTGAATATGCTGAGCCTGAAACCCCAACACAATGGCCACAGCATGCATGAAAACACACATTTCCCCCCCTCAATACCTTATGTAGGTATTGATACTTTAATAGATATGTGATTAAGTCTGGTTTGCCAAGAGGATGGGCGAGTATAGATTGATCCTGTGAGTGTTTAATCTTACTGGACAGACAGTTTCATCTGTTTCAGCTTGTTCATCTGCAGCAGAACCTCAGGCTATCTGTGCAGTGTTATGAAAGTGAATAACAAAGAGGACAGTACAACACTGGCCGCTCAGTAAAAAACGTGACGGTTCAGAAAACTGGCACAAGAAAGAGGCCTCAAATGCAGACTCACAAGGCAAAAGTAGAAGAGCAAAGAAGTCTATCTTTTATGCAGTTTTCTTAAACTGTTCCTCATCTAATATGAAAGTTTGCATAAGTGCAACGCTGCCACAGAAAGCAGACAAAATGAACAGAATGAAAGCTGAGGCAACAGTGACAATCTGGCAAAATGGTGACTACTGCTTAGAGATCCCATATATACTGGGGTGTGATTACTAATTTGGAGCAGGTGTGTAGTCAGGTGACCAGTCAGGTGAGGGGTTTGAGGCGGGAAACACACTGAGGATGTGGAGAGCACAGGTGAGGAGTGACGAGCTGAAAGCCTAAGCCCTGAACCCTGTCAGACTAAATTGACGGCACCTGGTGAGTGATTGAGCACGAGAGGCTGGGACGGGACTTTTGTGACGTATCATGTGACTCTGATGATATGTTCATGTTGGGACTTTTGATTTTACAACAGGGACATCAAAGCCCTGTTATCAGCCCTGTTAGCCCTGTATTAGTTCTGCTTGCTGCCATTTTATGTGGTCAGTCCAGCACTCATCCCTGATCCTGAAGCATTGTGACCAAAGCCCAACTACATTAAACAAATCACTGGAGATTCTTTTTGAACAAGTTGTCTTCCACATATTGATAGTTTAATTTTACATGATTGCTGAGCTTGCTGCTCACCAAATTCACGTACCCACCCACTGCAAATGGTAAAAATGTTAAGACAAAGGCGCATAAACATGTTACTGATGTTGGGCTGCAAGAAATGTTTTTATTTTGGTGATTCTTCAATTCTTTGATTAAATTACATAAAAGACATCTGAAAATAGGAGAATAGCTATTTGAGTGATGTTTTCAGATTGCTTGAAAGCAGCAATTCCGCACATGAGAAACTGGAACCAGCAAAAATCATTTATCAAGCAATTAATCAGATAATTTTCTTTTCCTAGCTTTCTCTGTGCCACACTTATATATTCTTAATGTTAAACAAATGATAACTGCAGCTTTAAAGTTAGTCTATTTTTCTTGCGCAGACTATCCTTAAAGTGGCGACCAATGTAGATTAGTGTCAGTGCCCTGTATCCTTATACAAAGAAAGTGGAATAGGAACAGCAGAGCTCCTCCCTGTCTGTCTGCCTGTCTCTGTCTCAAGCAGACCACAGCAGTCTGTCCATTATAAAGCATCTCCTCCCTCCCTCCACTGCAAAAAAGCTGAGCCCAGGAAGCAGCAGTAAAATTTTACAGCCGATGGTACATTTAGAGTTAGAGTGTGCACACCAACAGCGCCCCATCAGCCACACAAAATCAATACACCAACTGTAAATGCAACTTTATGACCAGTGTGTGTGTGTGTGTGTGTGTGTGTGCACGCACGCGTGTGCAAGTACGCGCTCATAAAAACACCATTCTCTTTGTGACCCAATATCAGGGACCCAACCACAAGCAAATGAGCTGGCATAAAAAAATGGTAATTCCCCTTTGATTTCCTCAGAGCATTGTAAAGGCTCCTTCATTATTGGGAAGACATGAAATTTCTTCTGTAATCCCCGGTTATCACTGGACGGTAAGCCTATAGCATAAAACTGGTTCCAACAACAACGTGGACTGCTTTTATGTTTTGCCCGACTGACCGATCAGATTAGATTTAGAGCCCCGTCTGAATTCAGCATGCCTCGCGGATTTAGTTTTTAATTTATCCAGGGAACGATATCTTCCAAGCCCAAATGCTGCCCAGAGCACCACTTTGCTTACTCACTGAGGGAATCTGATCAATTCCTCTGAAACAGTAGGGGGTTGAGAGCCGTCCTGAGGGGAGTTTTGACACTAGTTTGGGATTTGATCTGCTCATTTTAAGTTTTCAGGCATACGCCTACCACCTTTAGGCTACCACCACTCACATTTTCCAGCTTTCCTAACAAACAGGGAGCGATTGAAGAGTACAAATCATCTTACTTGGAGTCCAGATGGATACACAAAGTCTCCCTCATACTGTATGAATACCTATAGTCAGTACAACTCCTTGTTATAGGATATAAAAATGTGTAGTTTTTCGTCAAAAAAGATCTTTATTATCAGAATGCTTCATTATATCAGATCTTTACATTTAAATTTAGTATCTTTTTTATCGTTTTTTAAAATCTTTTTTTAGTTTACTCGATAACCCATAATGACAAAGTGAAAACAACTTTTGCAAATGTATTAAAACAACAACTGAAATCTCTTATTAACAAAAGAAATCAGTTCTTTTTTTGTGGCACTACAAATTCTGATCAGGTGCATCCTGTTTCCTTTAATTAAAGCAATTTCAACTTATTGGACATAGTCTGGGAAGGCACACACCTGTGTCTAAAAGTTCCCACAATTCACGCCGCATGTCAGGACAAAAATTATGTCATGAAGCCCAAGGAACTAGTATATAATTGTGGTGAGGCATAGATCACGGAAAGGGTATAAAACTGTTTTAAAAGCTGTGATTGTTCCCAGGAGCACAGTGACTTCAGTAAATGTGAAATGGAAGATTCTCTGGTCTGATAAGACAAAAGAGTAACCCTCTAGGCAAAGCTCCAAACACTCTGGCCCTGTTCTGACCTGGCATCATTTGGCTGAAGAGCAAATGCTTGCTGCTGAGCTCACCAAGGCTGAGCAGGCTGTGGAGGCTGTGGAAATTACTGAGACTCTTTTTTTTTTAAAGAAACTTGATGACATGCAGAGGGTCTCAGAGCAGCATTGAGCTGAACCCAAATCTGAGAAAAGAAAGCAGCTAAACTGAAGGCTGTTCAAACAAGTGAGGCAGTTTTGGAGGTCACAGAGAAGCTGAAAAAGGAGGAAAAGAAACAGAAAAGCTCTTGTTCGAGTCACCATGGAACTCAATGAAAGAAATGGTTTGAGAGTCCATACAGGGAGTTACCAACTGGAGGCCATTTAGATTGTGGAGGCTGTCCAAAGCAGTAGATATAATTGGAACTACAGTTAACACCTAGTAAAGCAGAGACAGACTGTTGTAGACAAAATGCAGCTGCTGTGTTTCATCCACAGTGTTTTTAATACTTTATAATATAAATGTATTTGTGCTTTCACCATCTTGATGCTTTAGACCAGCTGCATCCACATTTTGAAAACAAGTCATCACATTAAACCTAACCAACAAATTGTTTTTGTCGTTCCAGTACTCATTTGGCGCAGACCCAGTGACTTCTTTGTTGGATCCTCTAGAAGAGGAACTGTTGAAGACAACACATACTTATTGTGGTAAATCCCACGCACTCTTCACCAAGAAACTGGCACACAGCCTGGCAAATGCCAACAGGAAGGCTCCACGTGGACGGTGACAAAAATGTAAGCTGGGATAGAGGCCAATAGGATTTTTACAAGCTCGGCTACCAAGATAAGGAACAGTGCTTATTGGAGCTAACCATTCGTACTTGCTGGCCTTGAGCAAGACATTGAACTCCTAACTTCTGATCCTACAAGCTGACTGCAGCTTGTCTGCTTTGAACAGCAGGGTTTTTTGACTGAGATACAAAAAAATGACACTGTGGAATGAGTGCAGTTTTTTTTTTTTGACTACTTTGGTGAACAGTTGCTTAATGCTCACTGGTTAGATTTCCATCCGAACATTTCAATTATTTATTTTTATTTTTTTACTGGATTCTGAGAAAATCAGCAAAAGAAAATGAGAATTTCTGCATGTTTCCATCCATTACCATTATGCATCTATGAGGAGTTGGTTCGTCGATTTTTATAAATAGGTGGTGGCACTAATTCTCCAGTCATTTGTGTCATGCATTAATTTGAGGAACGTTACAGTCTCTCATCAGTCCACACAGATTTGATGTTCATGTCCACCGCCATCTTTTTGTCTCTTAAATGCAGCAGAAACTTTAGTGAATCTTAAAGCCACATGCTTCATGTATGTCATGATTCGTTTGTTTGCATTGCACTTTGTCACATTGTAACAACTTTTCTCCTTAAGTCCAGCATTCTTTTTTTTTTGCAACATTTTTCGAATTTTCTGTGTTTCCTCTCAGGGTTTTTCATGTGCTCCTTATAATTATAATTATAATTTATATGTGCATACAAACTGAAAGGGAACTCAGTTGGAGTTGTGCAAAACTGAGACCAGTAACTGTTTATCTCTTGTGAGTTGCTCTGATTATAAGTGTGAATATTTTTTTTTTTTTTTTTGGTGGTTTTTATTACAACATTTTTTGTATTTCACTGACAACCAAAAAGCATCTAGTGTCTTCCTCATAGTAATTTGCTTCTTTCAGAGCCTCTGGCTACTGACTGAAGGTGCTAGAGATCTGTAAAAGTTTGGAAGAGAAGCTCTTGTCTTTCCATATTGGAGAATTTATGAACTTGTGAAACACTCTTATTAAAAAGAGACAAACCATATCAGAACTGGACAAAAGGCTTTCTGCATGGCCTGTTTTTGAGAGATGTATGTGCGGGGCCGTTTTTTTCAGCCTTTAGAAACCACTCAGCAACATGGAAGAACAGTCATTTAAGAGAATGACAGTGAAGTGATATTTTATTATTTCAGTGCAAAGTGATTCTGCAAATTAATGCTGGGCTTTATTTCTACAGTGGCATGGGTGGAGCATATGAAACCTCCATCAGTACTGTTTCCCTGTGTAAACATTTGGTCTTTTCGTTGCTATGTTACAGGTTACCTTGACCTAAGCGGCAAAAAAAGAGAAGGTCATTTTTAATGTGGTACAATGTCGGTTTTGCAGTCTCTGTTTTTGTGATGACATGTTACATGTTTTGCTTCTTTGTTTTGTGAAATGAACCGATACATCTCCTTATGATGTTTCAGACATTGCTGAATAATACGATACTATCTACTCCTTTTTAAAAGGATGTGTTGCGTCAATCTAGACACAGATATGATAAAAATTCTCTTAATCTAAAATTCACAGCATAGCTGACATACATTAGCCTAGACAATGCAGAAAAATGCTACTATGCTATTGAACATGTGAATAAGCTACAAGTTCTCTCCCGATGCCAAAGTATTTGTTTTATTACTTTAATTATGGGTTTTGCACCAGTGAATGTATTTTGAACACTAAGGGTTGAAATGTTGTAAGTAAATGTCAGTGTTTACATTATGTTGGTATGGGAAAGGATGGTATAAGTAAGGATATCCTTTGTGACATTACTGTGTTTACTTGTTTATATGTCACTGTCAAGAAATGAAATTGCAGTGTTCTTTTTTTTACATTAAAGATCATATCAGTTTTGTAAAATTTGTACAGCATTGTGTTATATTTAACCACCAGAGGGTAGCATTTTTTCATATGTCCACTAGTGCTTTTTTGAATTAAATGTGAGTATTTGTTTTGAGGAAGGGAAAGTATAATTTATCATGGACAGAATCGAAGGGAAAAGTCATTCAGATAATCTTAAAACAATTTATGAATTTGGAATTAATATTATTTACTTTTGAGACTTGTAACAGGGGACTTACATGGGTTTGGAGCAGACAAATACAAATACAAATCTTGTTTTTTTTGTTGTTTTGTTTTGTTTTTTCTCTTTTTACCAATATAAGGCATCTTTGCCAGTTTATTCTAGAAGGATCTAAGTTGAAGAAGATTGATGCTGTGTTTCTAACACCTCTTCGGGCTGATCAATGGACTTGCCAATAATCTATGACCAGGCCACCTGAGATGCAGCACCATCTCTGCCTCAGCTTGGTGCTCATAAAGTGTAAGTGATGGACCAATAACGCGGCCACGTAGATGCCTGCCTGTGACGCTGTATGGCACTGACTATAGGGAATGAGTTTATGCTTATTCCCATTAGGTGGGGGATACAACCATCTGTTTATTGTTCTGGAGCTAGTTTGATTTACTGGACCAGAAACATCCTTCATTCATCACTATATATCGTTATGAGAGCTTATCAATTACCTTTATTGACCTGTGTGCTTAAATGCAACATGTAACAGACCAGGTCCCCAGGGAGAGAGAGACAATGGCTTGAATTGAGCACCATGGTGAAAAATTCAATATCGTCCATCCTCCATGGTTTCATTTTCCTGAAACTACATGTTTTATGTTGTAATAAATAACTCTGATTTTATTTTTTTTTTGTGCCATCCCGGCTGGAAAGGGAAACTATTTAAAATAAATATGTGACCTCCAGCGTTTAGAGTGGGTCAGAGTGGAAGACGAGGAGAAAATGGAGCCATCACAGATTAATTAAATGTACATCCGTGTGAGTGTCTGTTTTTTTTTTGATGGACAAAAGAGAAATAAATAAATAAAAATCCCAATAAGGTTGGCTATTTTCTCCCCATTGTAACAGGACAAAATGTTGAAGAGGAGAGGTGAGCACATAGTGGGAGGACAGAGAAAAGGCTGATGGAGTGTGTTGGTGATGAAAGAAAAGAACAAGGCTGCCACAGCCAATATAGCAATTAGAGCACTTTGCTGCTTCAGAGCTCTATCTTTTGGATATTGCTTGCCTGAAAACAGAGTTGGCCCTCAACATTGTGTCACCGAAAGAAAACAGAAACAGATTTCTAAAGAAAGAAACATATTCCAGGCATGTGCACAATTTGGTGGAAGTACAGTGTAGAAGTGAATGAATAGTGGGCTAATTAAGAACTGTGTTCATTAATCAAATAGAGTAAACAAGCACTAATATAAAGAAAAGTGTGACAGTCACTGCGCTATGGAAAAGCTTTAGAAGAACCTCAAGAGGTGAAGTGTAACATGAGAAATCACCACTCGTCAAGGGAGAACCTTACCTGCTACTCTAACGTTGGCTACACTGATGCTGTGAGTCTAAAAACACAGAGACACTTAGTTTGATGCCCTGTCTCACTCTGATGTTATATCTATTATACCTGCCAATACATGACCAACATACCCTAGATTCTGGCTGATTTTATGCCCGTGTCACTTTCACTTTCTAATAAGACATTGTAAACTAATGGATTTATTAAAAGTTCCATCTTTTGTCTTCCTTCCTGTCAAAACCTGATGTCTACATTACCAACAATGCACCGCCATGACAGATGACAGTTCATTCAAGGATTCTGGCGTGTTATGGATGTAATGTTGCCTTGAGCTGCTATCCTCAAGCAGGGATGAGGAGCGGGATAAATTCATCAGGTTTTGCGCAGCTCCGTCTGGAGCCATAATAAGCTTTATACTAGCCAAGGGTCCAATAGGGTCAGGGTGACGTGAATTTCATCATCAGAGGGTGTATGGTAGGCTGAGTGCAGACGTCCTTGTACCAGTCTACAATGGCACCGCTGACAGTCCAAGTGGACTAGAAACTAGTATAATAAGAACAACTATGCGTCCTTGGTGTCCATGTGCACATCCATAAGGGAGTATAATTGAGGCTGTACTCTCCAAGACCTGTAAGGAGACCATGATGTGTAAAATCAGTGGAGGAAGACAACCTACAGTAGAGTTGTGGGCCATAAAACCAAAACAATGAGCTTAAAGGTGCTAAAACTATCCATAGAGCTGAGTGAAAGGTGCAGAACAGGGTAATAATTCTGCATGGGTTCATCACATTATGCAATCTTTCATATAAATATAATGATTAGGGCAGCTTTAAAAAAAAAAAAAAATAGACTGTGCTCCAGATGCTCTGTGGCTCTCAAACCGTCGATTGGAGCCTTAATGAGATTGTTATTAATGACTTGCTGCTGGTCTATAAAGCATTAATAAACCGTTATATTAACCATTAATAAAGCATTAGTAAAATAAAAAAAACCCTTAAAAGTTTATAAGTAGGAAGTGGTGACTATTTCAACATGGGCTTTGTGAACTTTGGCTGTGCTTGTGTATATTTGTCATTAATACTGAGCACACTTTGATCTAAAGTTCCGCTTATTCATAAGGTTTGCCTTCCAGAGACAAGACAGCACCTAATGTTGACAGCTTGAATCTGACACACAAACACACACGCACAGAGTATATGGATGCATTATGCACACATGTTCAAACACATATATCCACTGCGAGCAAGAATTAGGTGGAGCAGCACCACACATATATATCTATATATGACTTCTGCTCCGCACATTTGAGCATGTATGTCATATCGTACTCCTAGATTGCACAGCAGGGGGTCATTTACATGTTGTAATAGGGTCTACATATCACTGCTGTAGGAGATGAGAAAGAGAGAGAGAGAGAGTCACACAGGCCTGAATGTTCCCCACAAACAGAATGTCATGTTCTGCGCTTCTTATTTACATGTGTGCGACTCCGGGGTACGTTTGATGCCCAGTGAGATGGAATATGACATCTTTGCTCACGCTGACACCGAATTTGCTTCAGTGATTCACTCGTACATCATATAAAGAGAGACAGAGTGATGATATTACATATATATTTTAACAGATTGGTTTGTTTATTTCACAGTTTATTTTCTGCGAGTGTGTTTGTCAGATTCGACACGGCGTAAAGCCACAAAGCCAAGCCAAAGGATGCCTGCCCAGCTCTCTGTGTAAATCTTGCTGCTTTCAAGGGAGCCAGCACTCAGGAATCTCCCACCCTTATCAGGCTGTCTGCCAAATGTGGTCCTCATCCTTGTTTTTGTCCTCATCACTTTGTAAGCATGTTTATTTTCTTACTTCCTATTCATTTTTGATTTTCTTCCTGTGTTTCTAAAATCCTACCTCTTCACATTATTTCTACAAGAATCCACCTTTTGAAATCCACCTCAGTGTCTGACCCAGTTTCTCATGCCTTATTTCTTTTTCTCCTGCACCCATCAGAGGGCATACAAACTTCCAAAGACAAACCACACAGTGAATACAAAAATACCCAATGTGCTCATCAAACATGCTCATTTTTTTTTTTTTTTGGCTGTTCGAGAAATGGTAACACAATGTTTTCAAAGACAGATTGTGTTGCAGAAGTTCTCACCTCCAAACATTTAAAGAACGTCAGAGTCTGTGTAATGCTAGCCTCGGGGATATGAGCTCCTTCCCTTTGTACTAGACCTCAGGCGCACATGAGAGCCAAAACAAGGCTGTTACAGTAAGACAAACGCTTCCAAGGACAATAAGTAGACGTTATTGTCTTTTCAATCCATGTCAGGTCGTTGAGCTGCTGCTTGCAACAAAAAGGGATGTTCAGTGGCGGTTAGAAGTGGTTTGAGTCTCTGGATTTGCTAAAAATATAAAAGCTAGCAAGAGCTCCACGATTCCCCAGGGTATTAGCTACTCACTTCTGTTTCAAAGGAAAAGTTTGACATTTTGGGACATGTTAATTCACCTCATTACTGGGAGTTTGATGAATACCACTGTCATGTGTATGGCAAGCTACTGCTAGCAGCTGGCTAACTTGGCTTAACTGTCATTTTTACACTTTTTGGGTTTTGTTCAAATAAAAATTGTATTAATTGGTGAGGTAATCACTGTTTTAGAGGTGGTGGTAGGTATTTTTTCTTACTTGTGGACTGTGCCTGTCAAGGTTAAGGTATACAGGTAACGTATCGACAGGCTGGAAACCAGGAGCAGGAGCCTGCTGGGCTGCCGACTGGAGATCAGGGCAGGTGTCGGAACAAACCGCCAACTGGGAATGAGGAGCAGGTGTTGGCCGGACCGCCGACTTGGGAACAGATGATGTCGAATGGGACCCCCGACACTGGAATAGGTGATGCAGCTGGGCAGCTGAGAGCATATAATCCTTTCAGGAGCAATCCATGGCAGTGCCAGGCTAACCGTTTCTAGCTAGCTGAGAAGATCTATTTGTTAAATACAAAGCTGTAGCCAGCAGCCTGTTAGTTTAAAAACACAACACAACTTTTTAGATAGAAATGTTTGATAGATGACATATAGTGTTCATTCATGAGCTTAAGAAGTGCTGCAAGGTAAATGTTGTCACCTTTGGTCAGAGCTGCAGCAAAGGCAGAATTATTCATAATAAAAATTTTTCTAGTACATTTTCTTCAGAGAATATTCGCCGGATTGAAACTCAAAGCTATGTGCATTCACATAGGAAATGCACGCACACACATCACACTCACACATGGACCCTATCTGCTCTCCCTTGTATACAGATCCCATGTAAAACTTATAGCTCAAGCATAGGGGACTGACATCTGAAATGAGAGTGACCCTGCCGCTTTTATATCCCAACGTACTCTGACCTTCCTCCTCTTTTCTGCGCCGCATCCTCAACGTGCCACAATAGATTTCCCATTACTGCTCCCTCATTCAC